CCCCGGGGCTTTATAAAGCAAATATGCTTATACTGACAAGGTATTTTCTATAAAAGGTTCTTACAGCTTCCAAGGGGGCAACAGCCACAGTAAGAGGGAACTAGTAACAACAACAGAAGAGCTTAATAATCAGAGTTGAAGATTATGTTCACAGTTCGGTTACTTTTAATTTCTATAAGCACCTACGCTGAGAAACACGAGGGTTTGTATTTTAGCTTCAAAATCGAACCGACTTGTGACAAATACCTTGTTAAGATTTCCATTCTGCTCTTCTACAGGCCTTCTCACTGGAACAATTTTTTTTATTTTTTTTTATTTTTTACAAACAGACTCACTTTGATTTAAAGTAAACATATAAAAATTGAGAATATTGCTTGCAACAATGGACCTGGAGGTGAAGGAATGAACTAGTCAGGCCATACAAAAAAAAAAAAAAATCTCCCTCAAAATGAATTCTGCTAAACTTCTAATGCTATGAAAATCTGCAAAAATGATCACAAGATCTGTTGCAAATTTCAGAGATTTGGCCCAAGTCTTATCATCATCATCTGAATACTTTTAATAACTGTATCTTTATATTAAGGAAAAATAAATGATTCCAAGAACTCAGGAAGGCACACGCACCCAAGTATACTATAAATAAAACACATCATGAAATTACCAAGATCTTCTGATCCCTGTACACACTTTTGGTTCAGTACTATGGTCAAGTTCTTTCTTGAAATACAATAAAAGGCATACAAGAAATATAACATATGCATAATAATTATGAAGAATAATGCTAATAAGACAGCTTACAGAGAAAAGTGCAGTGAAAAAACCCAACGCTATTTATTCAGGGGCTTGTGCTACTGTAAATACAGACTTCGTATTTGCTGCTGTGCGAGGGGAAGAATTTATCCTGTGAAGCAGCAATGAGGACCGCAAAAAAACAATAAAAAATAAAAAAGATATTAAGAGAAACTTTTAGGATGGAATTCTCCCAACTTCATTCCTCTAGTGCAGAGTCATCTGACTACATGGTTTGTTTTCATGCTGCCATTTCTCTTCATGAGTACAGCATCTTAGAAAATGGCACAGTTCTTTTTAAAATATTTTTCTGCCTCTACTTCTTTTTTTTTTTTCTTCTTCCAAGCACCTGATTTGCTGTTTCCTCACAAAAGGGTAAAGCTGTTAGCGAAAGTGAGAAAAAAACTGTTGCCATCTTCTCTCCCAAACACTGATTTCTCCATTTCTCCTTCCACTAGGTATTTTACTCGTGTGCTACACAATGGGGAGGCACTGTAAAGGCAGCTTGACAGATTTAAAAATAAAAAAATCAAAAGTCTTTTTTCTTTATCCCCCCGCCCCCAGCCCACCCCGAAAAAAATGTGCCTCTACTTCTTTTATTTTTTTCTTCTTCCAAGCACCTGATTTGCTGTTTCCTCACAAAAGGGTAAAGCTGTTAGCGAAAGAGAAAAAAACCCAACGCTATTTATTCAGGGGCTTGTACTGTAAATAAAACCCAACGCTATTTATTCAGGGGCTTGTGCTACTGTAAATACAGACTTCGTATTTGCTGCTGTGCGAGGGGAAGAATTTATCCTGTGAAGCAGCAATGAGGACCGCAAAAAAAAATAAAAAATAAAAAAGATATTAAGAGAAACCTTTAGGATGGAATTCTCCCAACTTCATTCCTCTAGTGCAGAGTCATCTGACTACATGGTTTGTTTTCATGCTGCCATTTCTCTTCATGAGTACAGCATATTAGAAAATGGCACAGTTCTTTTTAAAATATTTTTCTGCCTCTACTTCTTTTTTTTTTTTCTTCTTCCAAGCACCTGATTTGCTGTTTCCTCACAAAAGGGTAAAGCTGTTAGCGAAAGTGAGAAAAAAACTGTTGCCATCTTCTCTCCCAAACACTGATTTCTCCATTTCTCCTTCCACTAGGTATTTTACTCGTGTGCTACACAATGGGGAGGCACTGTAAAGGCAGCTTGACAGATTTAAAAATAAAAAAATCAAAAGTCTTTTTTCTTTATCCCCCCGCCCCCAGCCCACCCCGAAAAAAATGGATGGATGAAACAGTACGTCCGTAGGAATATTCCAGTCTCCTCTGTTAGGAGATAATAGCAGGGGACCATCTAACCACAGTCAGATTGTCAGCACTGACTGATCGTTTCTTTGCGGCTTTCCTGAAGTCCTTATATTTATCTTCACACAAGCGGGAAATGGCCTGTGAGACAAAAGAATGAAAGAAACCTCAGTTGCAGTGACCACAGCTGTACAGGTAAAATAAAACTAAACGCAGATTTCTACATATAGGTAGAATTACAAAAAGTCACTTCATTAAGCAAAACAAGCGACGAGCTTCTCCCCGAATCCTCTTTCTCATTTCATTAACCTTAAAAGAAAGAAACACACTGACATTGCATTGCCCACCACGGCTGCTTTTGAAGGACTCGGCATATTCCAAGCCTTTTCTTTACAGGTTAACCATCACAAATCTCATCAACGTAGCTGACAATGCTTACCCACTGCTATATGGTAACTCACAGATAGCACTTCATTGGTGAAAAGCAGTGGAAAATGTAATAAAATAATTATAGAAATTGTAAGTATATTTGGAGAATTTATAAAGAAGATGGCTCTTAATTCTTTTATTTACTAAAAAGTCTTGTAGTAATTACATTTTTCTGTACTGATAAATGGCCTGGCAGAATACTCGCCCTGCTCTGCTTACAGAGCTGATGTTTACTTGCCTTTCGGAAGGAGATGATGATTTCTATGTGATCAGGCTATCTTATATAGTGCCAGTGGGAAACGTAACTCATATTGAGAATAATTTAATTTGCATTAAAAATACACAGAAATGTTAAAAACCTTTAAAAGGAGAGACACAAACATTATTCAAATGTCAACTCCTGTTATACTACGTTGGAGTTAACATTTTACGTTTCTTCTACTGTTTTTAGCCAAGTTTAAAACAAATATTTATTATGGACCTCATATGCACAAATATATTGTGCCCTAAAACAGCATGTCTATTAGGGTTCATAGGGTTGGGACAGGCTACGGTCGGCATCAGTAGGGATGTTAACTCTGGCGATCAAACACGCAGAACTGCAGGGAAAGCTCACTGCAAGGAGTACTCAAGGTCAAATTAAAAAATAAGATGAACTAAACCAGTGTTTTTGTTTATTCAGGGATGCTTTTAAGTGGTGCCTTAAGATAGGATGTTTAATAAAAAGGACTGGACAAACAAAACCAGTACATGTGTTTGATTATAAAACAAGGCAATACAAATAAACAGCCTGACTCCACTGATCATCATTTTCTTTCTTGATCTTTACTTCTCTAGCACAGCAAGTTGAAGCAGTGAAGAGTCCTTTAATTTTAATAGTCCTGCAAAGACCAGAGGCAGGTTTGACAGAAGCACACAACTCACACATCTGAGAGCAAGTTCACCTAACACTTTGGTCCAGCCAGCCACAAAGCATGGTTAAATTAAAAAAAAAAAACAAAACCAAAACAACACAAAACCTACCACCACCACCAAGAAACCAGTTGCTACTTTTTAGTTGCAAACTGAATTTCCGTTTGTTAAGACCATTCTTGAACACAGTTTTCTTTCTTGGTGCATATGAAGAGAACAACAGAATAAAGTAACGTAAATATTCCCGTTGCTTTGTAGACCATAACTTAGCTCACTTAGAACTGCTTAATAACATTTTATTTAATTTAACCAGGAACTCAATGGACTAAGAAAGTTTATGCAATTCAATCGGATTTAAAATCCAATAGATGAAAAGCATTTAATCATGAAATAATGTGCCAAGGCATGGCTTGGCAAATAGGTGCAACTGAGGTGGAGCTCAGCTTCTTTCAGCTGCCAAATCAGGCTGTTACCTTAGGCATCAAACAGCCAGAGAAGGTAATCACTTCAAAATTGCCTGTTTCACAGGAAAATTTCTGTTCTGGCACTTGGTCAGACAAAATGAAATTTTGCTTGGCAGTGGCACTTAATATTTGGCATCTCTAGTCTCTGGTGATTAATCACACGGATAAGAAACACACTGACTGCTGTTTAAAGCAATCCTGTATCTAAAGATGCTTCTTCATTTGCAAATAATTTACAAAATTGACATTTGGAGCCTATTTGGCAAGCTAGTTAGTCAACTTTAGCATAACATATGGGGAAACAAGACAAAAGCAGAAAATTGTAAATATTTATTATTGTCCTTCAGTTAAAATAAATCCAAATAGCTTATAAACACCTTTCTGTCATCTGATATTTCTGTTGCTTTTATTGCTAGAAAAAGAAACTGATTTTTGACAGTTGCAAAGGACCATTTCTCATACGAAATCAAAACATTCTTAAAAACAGCAACACTATTCAATCACGTGAAATTTTGTTGCACATGATGTAATATCTGTAATCAGCTAGAAAAATGCATACATATATATTCTTCCATTACATATATGCATACAGAACTAGAAGTCAGTTCCTCTGCTGAGTTATATGACTCTAGATGAGACTTTGACACTGGTGAAGGGGGTGGGTAAGGAGAAAGGAGGGGGGAGAAAGGCAGTAGTAGTAGTAGTAGTAGTAGTAGTAGTAGTAGTAGTAGTATAAATTTTGGCTGCATGCACATGTTTGTGCAGGGCAGGAAAGCAGCAGGGCTGGCTCCGGCTTCACTGCTGGGAATGCACACAGGCACGCAACTGCGAGTGCTGCAATACCCCCAAAAAATGGACAAACCAGAGAGAACTTAGCCAGGGACAGACAGCACTAAGTCTAGAAGGGTTATATGTAAGGAAAATGACGGGGCTCTGAGCAACCTGATCTAGTTGAAGATGTCCCTGCCCACGGAAGGGGGTTGGACTAGATGACCTTTAGAGGTCTCTTCCAACCCAAACTATTCTATGATTCTAGCATTCTATAAAATGTAAA